AACACCGGACACCAAACATCACCAACCATGCATCATACATCATCGAACATCAAACATCATTCATCATCAATCATCAAATATCAAACATAATACATCAAACACCAATCATCATTAAACACCGTACATCAACACCAACCATCAACAAACATCGTTTATCATCAAACACCAAACATCAAACACCATACATCATTCAACATTCAACATCAAACATGAAACATGAAACACCTTTAGTCACTTAACATCTTACATACGCAAACACCATACACCAATCATCATACATCATCATACACCATCATACATCATCATACATCATCATACATCATCGTACATCATCGTACAATTTTTATACATCACCATACACCATCGTACAACATCATACATGATCGTACATCATCATACAGCATCATACACACTCATACATTATCACGCAACATCATACACCATCATACATCATACATGAAACACCCACACCCACACCCACACCCACACCCACACCCACACCCACACCCACACCCACAATCTTTCTTTTTCTTTTTTCCCAACCCTCCTTGGTTGGGTATTCGTTTTGAATAAAGCAGTGTGGTCGCGTCCCTTCTCCTCCCGCCTCTTCCTGTCTTGCCTGCGGGGGGCTGCGATCTGTGAAACTGTCGCCACTTTCGAGGCCTGCTGGGGGGCCCAGCACAGTGAGGGCCACGCGCGGACCCAAATTAGACCTCGCCATCCCTGGGGGGCTGCGATCTGTGAAACTGTCGCCACTTTCGAGGCCTGCTGGGGGGCCCAGCACAGTGAGGGCCACGGGCGGACCCAAATTAGACCTCGCCATCCCTGGGGGGCTGCGATCTGTGAAACTGTCGCCATTTTCGAGGCCTGCTGGGGGGCCCAGCACAGTGAGGGCCACGGGCGGACCCAAATTAGACCTCGCCATCCCTGGGGGGCTGCGATCTGCGAAACTGCGCCCACTTTCGAGGCCTGCTGGGGGGCCCAGCACAGTGAGGGCCCACCGCGGACTCAAAATTAGCCCTGCCTTCCCTGGGTGGGTGCGATCTGCGAAACTGTCGCCATTTTCGAGCTTGCTGGTGGCCAGCACAGTGAGGCCGCGCGCGGGATTCAAATTAGACCTCGCCATCCCTGGGGGGCTGCAGATCTGGCGAAGCTGCCCGCCGATTTTCGATGCCTGCCTGGGGGCCCAGCTACAGGTGAGGGCACTTGCAGCAGTTCCATATGAGACCTCGCCATCCCTGCGGGGCTGCGATCTGTGAACCTGTCGCCACTTTCGAGGCCTGCTGTGATCCCCGTTTTCGAAGTGGCTAGGAGTGCTCAGGAATTGTAAATCATCAGCTTTATCAAGCTCTTTTCCTGTAGCCAGTGTCCTGCGAGTCTCCCGAATTCCGTCTGCAGACATATGTAACCCTCGCTCCGTCATCGCCCCCTTATAAAGTATCCTAAACTATTTGCGCCCCGCTTTTGCGCAGGGGTTGGGTACGTCGCCAGGGTAATTTGTTAAAGCTGTTGGATACGCGAAACCTCCATCACCACCCTTAAGTCGTTTCACGGACGAACTCCCCGGCCACCATCCCCCGGTCAGCCCTAGTAGTAGTAGTAGTAGTAGTAGTAGTAGTAGTAGTAGTAGTAGTAGTAGTAGTAGTGGTAGTAGTCGTAGTAGCAGTAGTAGCGGTAATAGTAGTAGCCGTAGTATTTGTAGTACGGGCAATAGGAGTAGTAGTAGTAGTAGTAGTAGTAGTAGTAGTAGTAGAAGTAGTAGTAGTAGTAGTAGTAGTAGTAGTAGTAGTAGTAGTAGTAGTAGTAGTCTTAGTAGTAGTAGTACTAGTAGTAGTAGTAGTAGTAGTAGTAGTAGTAGTAGTAGTAGTAGTAGTAGTAGTAGTAGTAGTAGTAGTAGTAGTAGTAGTAGCAGTAGTAGCAGTAGTAGTGATGGTAGTCGTAGTAGTAGTAGTAGTAGTAGTAGTAGTAGTAGTAGTAGTAGTACTGGTCATTGTAGTACTCGTAGTAGTACTAGTGTTAGTAGTAGTAGTAGTAGTAGTAGTAGTAGTAGTAGTAGTAGTAGTACCAGTAGCAGTAGCAGTAGTAGTAGTAGTAGTAGTAGTATAGTAGTAGTAGTAATAGTAGTAGTAGTAGTAGTAGATAGTAGTCAGTGTCGTCAGTAGTAGTAGTAGTAGTAAGATAGTAGGAGGAGGAGGATGAGGAGGAGGGGGAGGAGGAGAAGGAGGAGGATCAGGAGGAGCAGCAGGAGGATGAAGAGGAGGAGGAGCAGCAGGAGGAGGAAGAGGAGGAGGAGGAGGAGGAGGAGTAAAATGAGGAGGAGGAGGAGCAGGAGGAGGAGGAGGGGGTGTCAGGGAAGGAAGACGAGGGACAACTGGGGCAAGGGAGGAGGAATGAGCACGTGGAGGGGAAGGGTGGGGGAGGATGGGGAGGAGGCTGAGGACCAGTTTAAACCTAATACGTCTATTCGATGTTGCAACACACCATCCCTCCAAGCTCCCTCTTCACAGGGCACTACAGGAATTGTATTACATGTGGGGAATGCCCAATATGAAAACAGTTTTTTGGGAATCCTCAATCTTGCCGAAGCACATTCATTGGGACTTCAGCGTCGCGAGTCAACGTGACTGCTTCGTCCTGACCATCTGAAACCGTGCCCGAACACCAGTCCTGGAAACACGACACCGCGAATAAACATGATTCTACAGGCTTACGCCACATCCGCCGACCCCTTGTATTCCTTGTGATAGCAGCGCGAAATTGTCAAGCATCATTAGTCGTTTTCTCTCGTCTTGCAATGTCTGGTCCCTGCAGCGCGGCATTCAATGCAGCTTACCTTTCGTCTGTAACCTTCGACTCTCACCACAATGTGGAAGACCTGGTCAGCTCCCCGTCAGGCGTTTTTCCGCAATCGGGGAAGCATGCAAGACCTTCTGAGAGTTATCGGTTAAGCCCTCAGCATTCGAGAAAACTGGACGTCCCAAGTGGTCCCAAGACGGTTCAAGAGGGCCCCAAGACAGTTCAAAAGAACCCTTAATAGGCCCCAAGAGGACGGCCCAGAAGACCCAGGGCAAATAAAGAGTGATCGGTAACGCAGAAAGCTCATCACGCCAAGGCTCCCAACGGCGAAAGCGGGGAGGGACGGCTTTATCCCGATACCGTCAAGACGGCCGAAGAGGGCCTTCTCTTGGCGGCCTGTTGGGGCTCTTTTGGCGGCCTCTAGGGGCTCTCTTGGGAAGCTCGTGGTGCTTTCTTAGGCCTCTCTCGGTGTCGTCTTGAGGCCCTCTCGGGCCGTCCTGGGGACTTCTTGGCCAGCCACCAACAGGCTTCCAAGAGGTCCGCTCCCAAGAGGCCGGCGTTCTGCAAAGAGTGTTCGGAGGAAAGGAAAAACGCGGACGAAGAATGGTGCAGAACGTGCAGAGGGTGGGCAACGAAAGCAGAGGGTGACGACGCGGCACGGCAAGAATAAACATGATTGTCGCGTTCTGGCAATGTTCAATCTTGTCAAAACGCCATTCCTGTGACTTCGACCATGCGAAACCTTGAAAGTCTTGCGAACTTTCAAACATAATGATCACGGCGCTAAGGCGACAGCAGCAGTTTGAACAAGAAGCGTCCTTCATCCGTGAAGCTGTTGCCGACTTTGAGGACGAATGTGCGCGACGCTCAGACGGAGACCACATTCTGGCAACGACCCACCCTCCATCCATGGAAACTGTTGGAAACTTTTCAGACGAACGTGCGCGTCGCTAAGGCGATAACCAGATTTTAGAACGCCCCGGCCTCCATCCGTGAAGCTGTTGTTGCATTTTTCACATGAGTGCATGCGGCGCTAAGGCGAGAGCCGCATTCTGCAAACTGCCCGCCCTTTATCCGTGAAGATGTTGCAAATTTCATGCCCCATGATCATAAGTGGCGAGGGGGTCTCAGGCGAAACGCCTGGCCTGCCCTACCGACACGTCTTTGGGTGCGATAGGGAAGAGCTGTTTATATGGAAGAGGGATTGAGGAGGAGGAGGTGGAAGGAGGAGGAGGAGGAGGAGCTGGAGGAGGAGGTGGATGATTCACCTGGAGACGTCGGAAATAGCAGCCATCGGGGACCACCATCCAAGGTAGGCACCTGAAAACGACGCTTCGTCTGGCGCCCCAGGGCCTACAACGACTGAAGGACCGACAGGAATTCATCACCAAACAAAGCGTCATAAGCATTTACTTTCAGAGGTCCGCGCAGGTTTCCTCAGTCAGCGCGGGGCTCCCCTCCCCACCTCTGGAAGTTCACGCTTATGTTGTCTGTGTGTGTGTGTGCGTGTGTGTGTGTGTGTGTGTGTGTGTGTGTGCGTGTGTTTCTTGATAAGGGCCGTGAACTTAAAGGGCCCAGGATTGGCGGAGGGATGACAATCGAAGAAGTCGAAGCAGCATGAACATGATCTTTCCGAGCTCCGCGCTGGTTTCTCGGATCGGCGCTGGGCCTCTTCCCTGGTGGGCAGAGCGCGCCAGGGGCGGCGCCGGAGCCGCCGCCAGGCGTGCCGAGTCACGATCCACAACAGTTGGCACCGACCTTGAAAGTTTTTGATTATGTCGTTTTGCTTTCTTTTCGGTGAGAAGGTGTACACCTCAGGCGATGCTTAAGAAAACCTGAGTTTTCGTCCAGAGTCTCGATTATTCTTAACTCTTCAATGCAAATCTCAATATTTTGATACAAGTTCTCGGTTTTGTTGAATTTCTGAGACTATGAATTTCTGAACCCATGATTTCTGAAGCATTTCGCAGGGTGTAGTTGCCATCCTCGGCCCCTCTGCGGCCCCTTTGCGGCCCCGAGGGCCCCCGCTGCGTCGGCGCCCCTCTGTGGCCCCGAGGGCCCCCGCTGCGTCGGCGCCCCTCCTCCTCCTCCTCCTCCTCCTCCTCCTCCTCCTCATCCTCCTCATCCTCCTCTCCCTCCTCCTCCCCCTCCTCTTCCCCCTCCTCCTCCTCCTCCTCCTCCTCCTCTGCCTCTGCGGCCCCGAGGGGAATCTGCTGGACTTCCTGCAGCAGGCCACGCCCGGGGGCAGGATCTGGCGCGAGGCGGGGGCCCCGCCGCTGCTCGACCCCAACTTCTACGAGATGCACTTCACGGACGTGAGCCCCAACCTGATCTCGAGCCGGAGGGTGGTGCTCCAGGACACCCTTCTGGGCCTTCCAGATGGGGTCCGAGGAGGAGGAGGAGGAGGAGGAGGAGGAGGAGGAGGAGGAGGAGGAGCAGATGGGGTCGGATGATGGCGCCGCATCGCTGATGCATCGGCGATGCGGCTCGATGTGGAGCCCGACTTTCTCCGCGCCGACGGCGCCGAGGCACCGCCGCCGTCGCCGATGCGTCGCCGATGCGCCGCCGATGCGTCGCCGATGCATCGGGGCGGCGGCACGATCCTCCGATCCCATCTGCTCGCACCCCATCCAGGAGGCCTCTCACCACGGGGCCCAGGGGCGAATGGCCCCCAGAGCTCCGACGGCACGATCTCTCTCTATGCCTGCCCAGGGGGTCGTCCTCGAGTTGTCGGCCTCATAGGGGCCGGCCGCCGGGCCCCCGGGGCCAGCAGAGATGGGCCCAGGGCGGGGTGGCGGGCTGAGAAAATCAGTTCGGCGGAGGAGGAGGAGGAGGAGGAGGAGGAGGAGGAGGAGGAGGAGGAGGAGGAGGAGGAGGAGGAGGAGGAGGCCCTGCGGCTGGTGTACGGGCGTGGGCCTTGGCGGCTGCTGGCCCAGGCGGCGCGGGCGCGGGCAGGCCGAGGCGGTGGCGCGGGCGGGTGCGTGCCACCCTCCACGCCCCAAGGAGCCTTCCACCTCGTCTTCCGTCGGGTCGGAGAGAATGATCTTCTATACAGCAACCGAACTGCAACCGATTCCCCAAAGATTTGCAATCGCATTTCGTTGCGCTGACCTGCGTTGCTTTGCGTTGCTTTGCACTGCTATGCCGTGCTTTGCACTGCTCTGCATTGCTTTGCATTGCTTGCCTTTCTTTGCGATGCTTTGCGTTACTCTGCATTGCTTTGCGACATTGCATTGCAATCATACTGCTTTGAAATTCCATTGCATTGCACGGAGTTGCATTGCTTTGCATTGCTTTGCATTGATTTGCATTGCTTCGCATTGCTGTGCCCTGCTTTGCCGTGCTTTGCATTGCTCCGCACTGCTTTGTATTGTTTCGCATTGATAGGCATTGCTGTGCAGTGCTTTGCATCGCTTAGCCTCGCTCTGCATTGCTTTTCATTGCTTTGCATGGCCTTGCATTGCATTACATTGCTTGGCCTCCGTGTGCCAAAACGGACGGGAGTGTTTCCTCTTTCGCTGCCCGACGCCTGTTGCCATTTGGGTTCAGGCGTTCGGCTGTTTTAGAATAGTGATTGGGCGCTGAGGTTGGTTTTTGGGTTGTTCACCCTCGACGCCGCGCTGCGGCGGGTCAGTGAGGAATGCCCTTTTGCGCCTGTGATGTCGGAGCCCATGTCGCCCCCGCGGGCGCGCAAGAGGAGGGCGAGTGACACCGACGTGAGCGGTTGCAAGGGGAGGCGAGTGCGAGCGGTGCCGAAGCTCCATGCGACCCTTCGGGACGGGAGCCTGGCCGCTACGGGAGTGAGCCGCCTCTCTTGCTGCCCGCCGAGCAGGGCGACGGGGAGTGGCGCGAGGTTCACGAGGGGCGCGTGGCTTCGAATATCGCACCCGAGGCGAAACTGTCTCTTGTGTTCAAGGATTCCAGCGGTACCATCTATTTCTCGGGCAGCCACGCCATCGCCCACAACCAAATCGCGCGCCGCTGCTGCAAGGTAGAGTACGGTTTGATCTTCAACTTCGTGCAAGCCTACAACAACGGCGACACACCCGCCTTCAAGAGAATTGGCTCGATCCTCGCGCACGAGCGTGTAGCCAAGGCCATGGGCCGCGAGGGTAATCATACGCTCGTCAACAGGATCCCAGGTCATTCGAATCCTTGCCGCTCCATTTGCTTCCACTGCCAAGACCGCAAAAAACACGACGATCCGGACTACTGGTTCAGGCTCGGCGCCATCTTGAAGGCCGAGTGGCACAACATGACGAATTTGCAGAATAATGAATCACCGTCTCACCAAATCGCGACCATCTACTTCGCCATGCACGCGTAGCCCGCGAAGTATGGAGACGGGCTGGTCGTTTCGAACGTCAACTTGGACGACGTTTACGAGGCCATCCTGAAGGATGAGCGTCTGGGACCTGCGGCCGACTTCACGATTGCTATCGGCGGTGACTATCACATCATGTACGTTTGCCCGCACTGCAAAACGCCCCCCCCTCTAGCCGAAAGGCTGGGTGCGTTGCGTGCCGGGGACGCAGCAGGATGCACCGGGAGGCGTCGCCGTGTGGGGCGGCAACGGAAAGTGCGCCAGCAAGAGCTGCGGCCGCAGGTGGTCGGAGAAAGGTACCGACTCTTAGGGGCATGGGGTCATTATCTTCCCGTCGCGGACCACCATCAGCCATTCGGGCGTGTCAGAAGCCAGCGACGGGGAGGTCGAACTCACTGCGCAAACCCATGAGCATAAGCCGTCCGAGTAGGCAGAGATTGTATACTTGGACCTTGACCGTGCTCGGGGGTGGCAGCAACCTCCTGGATGGCCTCATGGAGAAGGAGATCGGCGCGACCGTGAAGGCCGTCGACGCTATCAACGAGGATGTCTTCAGAAAGCTCATCAATCATGTGCCCGCGCACTCCGAGAAGATGGCCAGCTTGGCCGAGCTCGGGCAGCTGAGCGTCCGTCCCCACTGCGAGGATTTGCGCCTCTCCCGTAGCAAATTCACGGGCAATTGCCGCGCGCTCCTCCCGCCTGCAGACTGTCCCACCCTTGGCCGTGGAGAGGGCGCCGCGCTCCTCGACGACGCGCGGGCGAGAGAAATGGCCGCCGCGCGGTCTGGGGCAGCGGGCCGCCGAGGGGCTGATGGCTTACCGCGACCCCAGCTGATCGGCAATGCACGGGCGGTTCGTCGGTGAGGCTTTGGCCGGCAGCGGCGGGGCCCCATGGCGCCCCCTAGGGTGGGGGCCGCGTCGGCGCGCGGGCGCGAGTGGCGGCCGCTGCGCGGCCGGGGGCGACCAGAACGGACAATCGCTCGCAGCCTGTGTTAGGCGGTGCGAGGAGGGGCGCGCCCGGTTAAGAACTTCGCCGTCTCCTCCTCGTCCCCTGTTTTGCGGGCCCCCCGGGCGCCGTGGCGGGGGCCCCCGTGCGTGCCCGTTGGCGCGCCTCTGGAATAGCGCCGAACCCCCGTCGCCGGTGGGCGCCCTCCCGCGGCGAAGGCGCCCGCCCGTCCGTGGCCCCCTCCGTTTCGCCGCGGGCGGAGGGGGGCGCCCCTTGGCGGGGGGTGCTTTCGCGACGGGGTGGGTCATGTGGGGGGCGGGGCTCCGGGGCCGCGCAGCGCTTCCGCATTGTGCCTGGTCGTCGCGCGTTCGAGACAGCTGGGTCATCGCGCGATTCGCCGCCGTTTCGCTCGTTCCATCTCGACGCCGACCTCGCTTGGTTAATTGGGGCCGAGGCCGCGCGTGGCCTCCAGTGGTCCACTGCGACTGGCCACGCAGACTGCCCCCCCCCCCCTACGAGGCTCGCAGGCCTCGCGTCGGGCTTCGCGGGGGATCGCCCTCGGCGCTGGCGCGCCTTCGACCGAGGGGCGGTTCGCTGGCATGCCGTTGCGGGCGCGCGCCGCCGGGCGAGGCTCGGCAGGGGGCGTCGAGCAACGTTTCGGGTTCGAGCTAGTCGGGGCTTTCGCGGAGGCGCGGGGCCCCCGTTTGACCTTCAAGCGCAAGTGCTGGGCAGCGCTGGGGCGCCGCGTGAGGGCGGCCAAAGACAGGGGCAGTCAGGTCCGCTGAAGAGGAAGAGAAGCTCGACGTCGACGCGTCAACGGGGCGCGGTCAGCGCTTGCAGGTGGCCGCGCTGGCGTGCGCGCGGAAGGCGGCGCGAGCAGGGGTCGAGCAGCGGCCGGAAGATGGAAAGCGAACGCGATGCCAGTCAGGCGGTCGAGCCGACGAGCGTTTCCGACCGCCGGGCGACGAGGCTGGCCTTCCAGAGGGCGGGCGAGGGGCCCGGGGGGGGCCGGGTGCCGGCGAGGTGCAATCTCGAGGCCAGGCAGAGGCAGAGGTCGAGCGCAGCGACATTCGGACAGAGGCGTCGACGTTGGCCGCCCCAGCCGAGGGAGACGTGGTTCCGCAGCGAAAGCAGGGCAATGGTGAGCGTCGGCAGCGGCGGGGCCCCGCGCAACCCTTCGGGGCGGGGGCCTCGTCGGCGCGCTGGCGTTAGAGCCGGCCGCCGTGGGGCCTGGGGCGCGCCCGGGGCGCGCGGCCGCTTCTCCGCCCCGCTTGCCGCCGACCAGTGCGCGTTTGGGTCGAGGCCGCAGCCGCGAACGCGGGCGCAGATATTGCGCTCGCTGCGATCGCGGCCGTCACTTCTGCCATGGTGCGCAGCAAGGACAGGCCGGTGCCCTGGCTCAGCCAAGAAGATTCGGGGCCGGCGGGGTTCGCGAGCGCCGCGCAATGCAACCGCGTCGGCAAAGTGCTGCTTCGCTGCTGGGTATGGGGGGCCGTGAAGACGGGGCGCGTCGCGCAGGACTGCTGCTGCTTGCGATGGTTCCACGTGTGCATTGCTGCGCGCTGCGGCCTCGCAGAGGGGGGGGTTGGCTGTGGGCCTGGCAACGCTGGGCGATTGCGCCAAGGGTGGACTTGGAGCGCCGACGGCCGCGGGGGCCCTCGCGCGCGGCCAGTGCCGCGCGAGTCGGCAGGAGTTGCGGGGGTGCGAGCAGCGGCGGTTCCATTCGCGCTAGATCACGTGCTCGAGGAGCGCGTCGGGGGCCTCGCGGCGAGGGGCGCGCAAGGCAACGCTGTCGCGCGCCCGCCGTGTGCCCGGGGGCTACAGCGCGAGCGGTGCGGCCGCGAGAATACTTGGCCGTTTGTGCAGCAAGACCGCGCGTGGTTCCACGCTGCGCTCAGGCTGGCGATCGACGATCCGACGGTCAATGAGTGATTCTCTACGACGCCGCTGGCCCTCGCCATCCTGGCGACCGCAGCGGCGGCGGCCGCGGCAGCTGCTGGCCCTCGCAGATCGCCCGCGCAAGCAGGCGCGCAGGGGTGGCGCAGGCAGAAGAGGTGGCCGCGGCGCAGGCCAGGACGCGAACCCCTC